TGGGGCTCAGAAGAATTAACCAGTGCACAGCTTAAGAAGTACATTCAGAGATCGTGGAGGGATGGAAAAGTGGCTGAGCGGCTCAGAGGCTGGCACCTGCCCCTGTAGCTTGTAATCTTCAGTTTTGGGTTTAAGCCCCAAAGTGTGCCTGCAGTCCTCAAAACCAAGTCTGCAGTTCAAAGCACTTGCAGAAGACTCATGGATAAGAAAATACGGTCCAGCTGAGAATGGAAATTTCTCTGTTAAAATCTTTACTCAGGAAAGATGCTGTAATAGATGAAGCTATGGGGATGTTCCAGCAAGGACAGCCCCAGACTGGCATTCTAGGAGGCAGTGTCTTTTGTGCACTTTCCCATTATTTTCTGTTGTAAGGTGCCAGGTTTGTGCTGTACTGAGGCATCAGAACTTGTGCCATTCTGTCTGTTTGGTTTTAATGTGTCCTTTGTCTCTGTCTAGAAATTTTGTCTGGGCAGAAAAAGAGGACTTTGGATATTTGCCCAGGGTGTACTGATGTCCAACAGGGCAGTAGTTTAGGGCAGTAATTTCTACACGAGTTCTGGACATGCAGCAATGCTGAAGGCACAGTCACTGAGCCTGCACACAAGGGCTGTGCTGAGGTTTCCCATGGATTTTGTGTGCACAGAAAAGGGGATCTGGACATATGTGAAAGGTCTGGTACATCCAGAACTTGTCACACTGTGTGGGAGTGAGCTTGGGTCAGGGTTCATTCTGCATGCTCTAGACTCACTTCCCAGGTGCTGTGCACTGCCTGACTGCATTCCTAATACTTTTTTTTTTTTTTCCCCACAGAGAAATCTCGGGGAGAAATACAAACACCTTAGTTACATTTTCCTGGTATTTTCCATTGAATTTCGCCTCACAGCAGTATTGAAAGGCTGAGATGCTCAGTAGGGTTCTTCAGATGTGAAGAAAGTATCAGATCCCTCCTCAGTCACGACATGCAGCCACTCAGGGGCAGGTGCTGGCAAAAGGGATGGTGGCAGTGCATCCTGTCCCACAGCAGCACATTTGGATCTGCTTGAGCCCACTGAAAACTTCTCACCTTCCTATCTCCAGCCTCAGGAACAGCCAAGAGCACAGCCCTGCAGCTGCACAGTGGGCAAAGGACCCAGCCTCCAGTGGTGCTTCTAGGGAAGCGAAAAGGCTGTGGGCCCAGTAAAATGGATGAAACTTGAAAAGCAGAACTGGGAAAACACCGTTTTATTTCCACATAAGGTAAACACGGGACTTCACTGCACCTCTAGCAATTTAAGGAAAGTTCAGAACTACTGTGACTAAAATGTGAAGACATTGCCTTTTCCAAGTGGAAAAATGCAAGCTAGGGAAATCTCTAACATGTCCCAGTGCCTAGGTAGTTATAGTAATGAAAAAATTAAGATTACAACTTTTGGTGGTTTTCATGTAATAAACATTAAAATGGAATTTTGTATGCATAGAGACAACAATTCAAATTTGATTAAATTCCAGCCTTGAGGGCTTAGATTTTAGCTGTACCTAAATTTCATGTCCTTCGCATTGCTAAATCACACTAAACTTCACCTACTCAGGCAACAAAAGGGTTTTAATTGAGAAAAAGCAGTAAAGCGAGGTTTGCCAAACATCTATTTTGGGTAAAAATATTTAAGGCCAACATTTTTACCAACGTAATCCTTTTTACGTCAGTGAAGTTACACTACTGCAGAATTTGGCCCTGGTGTATTTGTATAAATATAGTATCTAGGATTTTGATGAGTACATATTCATGCATTATTCATTGAGACAATGTGGAGAGGAAGAACGAGGTCTGTGCAGGAGAGCAGAGCCCTGAGCACTCCCAGGTCCTTTGTTCATCCCCAGTGGGATGAAGGAGCACCTGTAGGGTCAGTCCTGTGCTGCTGCCTGGCCATGACTCGTTGAGGCTCAATGTCCTCTTGAGAAGAGACTGATTTATGTGTGCCAGGCTGTGGGATGTGTTACTGGCAATTCTGAAGAAATGCAGATGGAGGATATTTTTGTGAGTTTAAATTGAGCTGGATTTGAAAAGAGATGAGACTGTGTCTTGGTTCTGCCACAAACCTTTTGTTTGACCCTCTGTGCCTCACTTTCCCCATAAAATGAGAATTATCATTTTCCCTGCAGGACAGCAAGGCCTTCTGTGGGGAAAAGGAATGGTGTGCTGTCCCATGTGCCCTCAAAAAGGGTGCACAGACCTGTTGTTATAAGACTGCATCCTCATATCCCAGGCTGCACCTTCCTAAGGAATCTGAAGAAAGGAAAAATTGAAAATTGAAAAATGTCTAATTGAGCAGAAAAACAGAAAAGCTGCTGCTGCAGCTGGCCCCACTGTGATCCTCTTCTGTAGGGGTTGAACACAGATCCTGATCCATACCAGGTATTGCATTACTACAGTGTGTTTGTGTATATATGTAATAAAATTAATAATATTTATATACATAAATCATGCGTGTTTCTATTAAGAACTAGTGATGTCTGTAGTAACAATGGTGTGTGTGTGTGTGGGACACACATCCCAATACTTTCTAGCATGTCGGCAATGCCCCCATCAAGCTTTGGCAGGCAGGAAAGGGGCAGGTGTGGGGCAGGAGAGAGGGCACGGGACTCCTCACACCTCGCCCGGGCCTCGCTTATCGCCAGGAGACGTCCAGAGGCTTGCACACCTCCAGACTCACAGAGCGGTTTGGGTCGGAAGGGACATTAACAGGCCACTAGCCCAGCTCCCCGCAGGGAGCACTGACGTTTTCAACCCGATCAAATTGCTCGGAGCCCTGTCCAACCTGACCTGGAACGTCTCCAGGGCCGGGACATCAACCAGCTCTTCGAGCAACCTGCTCCGGTGTTCCACCACCCTCACTGTCAAACATTCTGCCTCGCCCCGAATCCAAACCAACCTTCTTTCGGTTTGAACCCATGCCCCCTCGTGCTGCGGCGACAGGCCCCGCGCACCCCCGGGGCTCCGCGGCCTCCCCGCGGCCTCCCCCGCGCGGCACCGCCCCGGGGCCGAGCGCGGCTCCCATTGAGGCCGCTGCCGGGCCGGCCCCCATCGCGGCGGGGCCAATGGGGGCGGCGGACGCGGTCGAGCCTCTCCCCGGCCTCCCCCGCCGCGGCCGGGCGCCCGTCATGTGAGGGGGATATAGTACTACGGGAGCGGGGCCGCGCTCCGCAGCCGCGCACCCGCCTCCCGGGGGAGCTGCGCCCGCCTCCCGCCGCTCCGCTGCCGGCCGCTCCTGCCTTTGCGGGCTGCTGCTTTGGCTTTGCTTGGTTGTAGTCCTGCGTTTTTATTGTGCGTGTGTGGCTTTTGAATTTTTTCTTCGGTTTTCTAAATTTTTTTATAAATTATTATTTCTATAGTTTTTTTTTGTTTTTTTTTTTTTGTTTTTTTGTGGCTTGGTTGTGTTTTTTGGGTTTTCTCCCCCCTCGTTTTCCTTGTTGTTGTTGCGTTCTTCTGGTTGTCTTTGCTGCCCTCCGGCTCGCAGAGGAGTTCAGGTAAGGGCGAGCGGGGGACGCGGGGCCGGCGGTGCCTCAGGGCTGCCGCAGCCCGGCGGGCTGAGCCCGGGGACTGTGCCCGGGGACTGTGCCCGTGCTGCTGGCAGATGGAATTCCATCCTCGGCGGGGCAGCGGGGGCTGTTTTCGGGCTGCAGCGGTGCCGTGCCATGGAGTGACAGGCGGCGAGTGCGGGCTGTTTATTCCCGATCATCGCGACCACGCTGCTGGGGGGCAGAGAGGGAGCTCGGGTCCCCAAAGTCTCCTGAAAAGGGATGGAAGGAAAACCCAATAAAATTAATAATAATGTTAAAAAACCCTCTACAAACGGAACAAGCAAACAAAAAAAAAACACGATTAAAAAACCCCCAAACGAACATGTTTTTCAGCCACGGAAGCCTGGCTGTGCTCCTGCTGGAGTGGGAATTCCGTGTGCGTGTCCCCCGGCACCCCTTTCCCTGCCCCGGCGGCTGCTGCCACGCGTTATTTCGGGCCGCCCTTCACTGCTGGGGTGCAGAGGCACTGCTGCCTCTGCCTGCTGCAGGTGAAGTGCTTCCTCTTGTGGAAGCCAAAGTTTGGGGTTGGAGCGGGATAGTTTTCAGAAAAGAATGCTTTGCGAATGTTTCTGGAGCTTCCCGGGAGCAACGGGCTTGGAAAAAACAAACCTGAACACCCCACTGTGTCCGGGGAGCAGCACAGCCACCTTGCGGAAGAGATGAGAGCAAATGGATTTACTCCTGCCTTACGGCTTCTTTATTTTTATATCTTTTTTTTTTCTTCCCCCCCACTTTTCTCTTTTAATTTCTTAGAAACTCTGGGCCTGCTTCATTGCCTTGTTTCTAGCCCTATCTGTGGAGCAGAAGTCAGCCTGAACAGATTTAAAACCTTCTAGGGAACAAGAGAAAACCCTGAAAAGATTGGTCTTAAACTAGAAAAAGCTGTGGCAGTAAATGTAGGAAATGACTGTCAGTGTCTCATGTATTCTGTGTGATCAGGGCTGACTGTCCAGAAATGACAGGCTGGGAAATACAGCCCCGTGTTTCAGCAAGTTCCCAGGACTTTACATTTTAATGTTGCTCTGCATCAGAATATGCTTTCTCTGTTTTGCTTTTTGTTATTTATTTTTTTTATTTTTTTTTTAGCTGGCGATTAGATGGACAGGTTTTAAACAGAACAACATGTTTTTGGCACAAAGGACATCATAACAACCCAGGGAACTCTTAAAAAAAAAGTTGGAGACGGTCGTGCTGCTGAACAGCTGCTGTATTTCACTCCAGAAGTGCCGCTTCCAGTGGCTCAGGCACTGCGGTCTCGCTATGGGTGCTTATGTTTCTAACATGTTTTTTACGTTCCTAGAGGTGAAAGTGTGTTATGGAAACAGCATCATTAATTTTCATAGCCTTCACAGCCCTGGCTTTTTTTGGTTTTGTTTTCTAATCTTCTGTTTTTGGCTGTGTCTTCAGGCAAAGTAACGATAAAAACCTTTTAGTTGTTAGCCTGGCCTTTAGGAGAAAAATATAGCCAGGGCCCAATCCTGCATTCCAGGCATTCTCCAAAATCTTCTTGGCTGTTCTGCAAGCTTTGAGAGTGCACAGAAAGCAGAACTGGCCCGTAATGTGCCTGAATCTATTTGGCTCTGAGAGTCCCCTCTTAAAAAGCCTCTGGTTACATCGAGTGACATTGTTCCTTGTCAAAAGAGATGGGAAACAAGGCTGCTGGCTGTTTTCTGCTGAGGTAACTGGCCCGCTGCAGTTGCTAGGGGTTCATTGTTGTTTTCTTTTCCCCCTCGTTTAAGTCCTTATTCAAATTACAGTTTAGTTCTATTCCCAGGGAAATATATGGATATTTTGATATGTAGCTTTGCAGCTCTTGCAGACATTTAAAAAAACCTTGAACATTTTAATTTATTTTTTTTTGAAAAGAAGTTCATCAACTGCTTTTGGTGCATGCAGAGCACGCCAGCTTTTCTTAGAAAAGCACATGTTGCAGTCCAGATTTCCCTCACAGCCCCATTCTTCAGAAGTTTAAGCTGGAATGATACAGACATTGGAGGGAGGATCAGAAACCATCTGAGGGCAAGTCTTCCTTTCTGCCCTGTGTTTCTCAAGACAGTCACCAGGTTTTGGTGCAAGATAGAAACAGTCGTCTTGGGTGAATTCTCACCAGATGCCAATACTAATTTGTCAGAAGCAGATGGTGCCTTCTGTTTCAAAACTGGAATAACTCAGCTATGGGACTTCTGCTGGGGAAACTTTCCATCAATATGAGATTAAAAAAAAAAAAAGTGTGTTAGAAATAGTTCAGCTCTTCTGACTCTTCGCTTTTACTATAAGACATGATTATAGGTTAAGGTCACAAAACAGAGCCACTAACCTCTGTTTGAACTTCCTCGTGTTCAGCACATGTAGGTATTTCATTATTGGTTCAGAGACATAGCTGACTGACAGAACACACAGACCAGGAAACTCTGCAATCTTACTTTAAAGTCTTTCTTGCAACCTATCCCTGTTTCCTCCATGTGTCTATGAAGGAGGAAGCCATATCTTTAAGAAATATGCCTTTTCCCCCCTCTTCCTGTGAAATATTAATAGATGTTGCCAATGGGTCAGAGCTCTTTAAGGGTGTTGTGTAAAATACCTCACTCTGTGCTCACTGCAGCACTGAGCATACAGACACCTTTTGATTTTTTTCCAGAGAAGGAAAGACAGGGCAAATTTTAGAGATGAGGCAGCAAAGATGCTCTGCAACAGCAGTAACAGCCATCCTCTTGCCTGCACAAAACTGGGAGCTATTGACTATTCATGGCAAAGCGTCCAAAGCGCAGCAGCAGAGCCTGTGGAAAATGACAGCGTGTAACAAGATTGACTGGCATTTCCTTCATGCTGGGTCACATGCCTCCTAATTCACACACACACACAGCCTCATAGGCTGATCGAATGACTTCTATCTCTGCAGTCCACATACCTTCCACAGAAAGAGTTGTTTTATTATGCACATGTACAGCTCTGTTTTCAATCAGTCACCTTGAGCAAATGACTGAGGGCCAGCGTTTGCTCCATCCCGAGGTCTCTGTGTTTGCTCTCAAAGGGGCATAATCTTGGTCCGTAAGCAATTTTTGTTTTTTCCCTTGGGGAGGTGGGGAATAAAAAAAAAAAAAACAAAAAAAACCACGCAGATGTCCCTCCTGCCTGCCCTCCCCTTTCAAGGAAGTTTGCTTGTCTTAGCTGATAAAGCGCTGTCAGCAAGCCCCACGGTGGGAAAGGTAGGCTTTGCTGTTGTAGGGCTGCAGCAGGATCGGGGCTCAGGGGAGCGGATGCTGTGGGATGCTGTGGGATGCTGTGGGATGCTGTGGGATGCTGTGGGATGCTGTGGGATGCTGTGGGATGCTGTGGGATGCTGTGGGATGCTGCCTGCTCGTTGCCTCAGCACGGGCAGCTCGGGATGCCAGGGGGCCGTGCAGCCCTCCCGGTTCCACACGGGGCTCAGCTCAGCCTGTGGAGCCGAGGGGTGAAAGCAGCCACCAGCTGGCTGGCAGGGCACAGTAATTAGCTCCGTGCAGTGCCAGCCTTATTAAGGACAGCGCAGGTGATGATGACGTTGGCACACTGATTCATTACATCTGGAGGGGAAAATCCGCCTAGTAAATGCTGAAACACAGTAAATATTTTTGGCTCCTGCCAGATTGATCCTTGCATTATGCTGAACAGCCTATATTTGTAGAACTGAGGAAGTTAAAAATAAGGTTGGTGGAAAGCTACAAGATAGGGAAAGGATTTGTATTTTATGGCCACCAGCAATAAACTTTTTTTATTTGTTTCTTTTTGGTGGTAAAAATTTCAACACTTTATTTTTTTCTTCCCATTGCCTTCTTTGGCTCTGGATTTCACTGCTAGGTGAAAGCTCATTATTTATTTTCTCTTGCTGGTAATATTCTGTAAGGGAGCTGTAAATCTGGAGCACACATGGTTGGGAAATGATTTCTGACAGAATTCTTTTACAAATATGTGGTGCAATCCTGCAAAACGCTTCAGCCCTGACAGTCCTCGGGGGTTGGTGCAGACATATCAAAGCTTGTAGCAGCCTGTGTACCCAGAGAGGCTGGATGCTCTGGACTTTCCTGTGGGCTAGAGGGCTTTACGAACTGCAGTTCATGGAGATAAATGATTAAACCAACTTCTGACTGTTGCTTTTTTGTTTTCCTGCACTCAGGCTCTCACCTGAACTTTGGCTGCCTGGTATATGCTGTTGGGATATCCTTAAGAGATCATCCAGGAATGGTGGATCACTTGCTGCCTACTGATGAATCCTTTTCATCCACAAGATCTTCTCTTGGATACTTTGGGGACATGACAGCAGGCGTGAGGTCCTACCAAATGCTGCCCTCTCCCCTGTCAGAAGATGACAGTGACTCGTCCAGCTTTTGTTCTTGTTCCAGCCCTGACTCCCAGGTCCTCAGCTCCAGCTATGGAAGCACATCCAGTGCAGAAAGTCAGGACAGTATCTTAGACTATTTATTGTCCCAGGCCTCTTTGGGGAGCACCACTGCGTCATGGTGGGACAAAAGGAGACTTCAGCCAATAGTAAAAGAGGAGTACTTTAGGTTGCCTGAATTTAACGTGGATATGGAAGACTCAGGACCATTTCAGCCCACACTTGAGGAAATTGAGGAATTTTTGGAGGAGAACATGGACTTGGAGCTCAAAGAAAGACCTAAAAGCGAGACCAAGGACTTGAGAGCTTGCAGCCAGGTCTCTGTTGCTTCGCTGCAGCAAAAAGACCATATGTTACCCAGTACTAGTTTAAAAGACAGTAAAAATGAACAGTTGACCAGCTCAACGGAAGGTGGCCAAGCTTCAAATGGAGGAATGACCCTGGAGAATGGAATACCAGTTATGCTCCAAATTCAGCCTGTACAGATCAAACAGGAGTCCAACACGAGCCCCAGTTCCCAAGGACCAGCACAGGAGAACATTAAAATTGCACAGCTCCTAGTCAACATCCAAGGACAGACATTTGCCCTTGTGCCTCAGATAGTTCAGTCTTCTAATTTGAACTTGTCCTCTAAGTTTGTCCGCATTGCTCCCGTCCCCATCGCCGCCAAGCCGATTGGGCCAGGAGGCATGATCCAGGGGCAGACGGGAATCATCATGGGTCAGAAATTTCAAAAGAACCCTGCAGCCGAACTCATTAAAATGCATAAATGTTCTTTTCCTGGTTGCACCAAGATGTACACGAAAAGCAGCCATTTGAAAGCCCACCTGAGGAGGCACACAGGAGAAAAGCCCTTTGCATGCACGTGGCCGGGTTGTGGATGGAGGTCAGTATTGGAGTGCAGCTCTGTCCAATCCCCCTTCCCCTTTTTGCACACTTGACCTAACTTGCTGAGCAAGTAGGTTTGTCCTCTGATTTATAAACTGTTTCTATTGCCAGAACTTGTTTGGTTGGTTTGACAATGAAGACCTTTTTTTTTCCTGTTAGGTAACCCGGGGTTTTGAAAAATTAAATAGCACAGTATCACCTGCTGGTACCAACAGTTTTAGTGTCTTAAAAAAAAATAAAAGTAGTCCATCATAATTTGTATTTCGTTCTAGAGGGTCAGATTAAGCTTGTTACCACAGGTAGGACCCGATGTTTGCATTGGCGTGGTTGCAGCACACCAGCCCCAGCAGACCAGTGGCTGGCACCAGCTGAGGCTGAGTGAACTGGATGATTTAGGGCAGAATTGCTGTGCACAGCCCTGTGTGGGACTAAACGTGGTCAGTGGAGGGCTGTTATAAGCAAGTTAGTGGTTAAAAGCAATATTCTGTGCACTTTCATAGAAAATGAGCTCCATCCCACTCCTTCTGAAAATGCTGGCAGTGACACTCTGGCATACTCTGGGTTTTATTCTCTGTCTTGATTCAGAAAAATGCGTGGGTGCCACTCAAAGTCGCAAAAAAGCTGTCAGATGTAACAACATAACCAGAAGGCTGAGGTGGAGTTAAGCATTGCTTGAATGAAAGATTGCAGGTTTGATTGAGAAAATGTTTGGCAGAGGGATTTTAAAAATATTTTATTTTTAATATGAATTGAAAAATTTAGTATTTTTTTTTTTAAAAAATCAACTTTTTATTTTAAGGAAGCTTTGACAGGTGCCTTCCTCCCTCTTTCCAGTTAGCTGTATTACTGGCTTGCCTTCTGGCAAGTGCTAATGTACAGCACCACAAATGATGGTGGGAGAAAACATAATCTTAACTACCTTGTGTTAAATTAAACTGAATTTCTTGCAAATAATATGCTGCAGAGCTTCAGTGAGCAATGTCTAATGAGAAAATGGGCCGTGATCATGGGCAACAGATGAGGTAAAAAGTAACAGGAGTGTTGTGTAAAAATGCAAGTATGTGAGACATGCAGCAGTTAGAGATGGCTGGGTTGTTTTGAGGGAAAAGGTCACAGTGGAGCTGAACCCTCTCTTCCCCAGCTGGACCAGTCTGAAGTTTGCTTCTCAGTACTGAGGAGATCAGATTATGGTCTCTCTACAAACTGCTGGTGATATGTTTCCTTTTGTTTTGTTAGCACCTCTCATGAGCTCAGTTTGTTGCTGCTCAGGGTGACCTCTCACCAAAGCCATGTGTTTCAGCTGATTGGTCCCAGAAACTGTGGGCTGGTTGCTCCTGACCTGCAGTACAGGCACTTGCTGCTTTTTATTTCGTTGCCAGAGTAGGTGTGCAGAGGCAGCAGATGTGCCTGTCATGTTGGCTTTCCTTGCTGGGAAGTGAGCACAGCTCTCCTTTTTGTGACAAATGCACGTGGCACGTGAGGGTTTGTCTAATCCACGCTGAGATTTGTACCAACGCTCCCAGTGACTTTTGTGGCTCAAGATCAGGAGCCTGAAGCATTTCCTGTGGATGACCTTCTCCAGCTCTGTCTTATCACAAAGCTGGTGTTCCCCAAGACACAAAACCAAGGGGGATATTTAGGAAAAATATTAAGTGATAAAGGATGATTAAATTTACAACAGGTACCTCTCTTCTCAAAGTATTGTGGCAAATGGTTTGCATCAAAAGCAGGATGCCGGTGGGCCAAAAGTGCAGGTCCCACAACCTGGAGCACCCTGAACTTTCAGCCACCACAACTTTTTAAAGATGAGCCCAACAGAAATGAGAAATTAATCACCTTCATAATGAAGGACATGTGTCTTGACCACAGCTTCTGCAAAGGGCTTTTCAAACTCTTTTGCTGTTTGTCTTGTTGAATTTCACAGCCTGGGCTGCAATCCCAATCCCCAAAACCCCCAGACTTTGGAAGGGCCCTGCTACAGGAGAAGTTTATAGCCAGAGGGAGAGGCTGTGTTTGGGGAGCTGCCTTCTGTGCTCACAGCAGTCCTTAGCACCAGCCTGAGATTGCTGCACATCCCCTGTGTGCTGCTCCCACATCAAAGGCCAGACCCAACTGAGCATTGAATTACTCAGTCCCCTTTCATCAATAAACCATGTTTACTTTTTCAGAAGTTCAGTGAGAGCTGTGACTTAAGTCTCACATGACTTAAGTCCAATTCATCTAGCCACTCTGTTTGCTCCCAGGTCTACATAATCTCAAGTGAATTTCAACACTAAAACACTGCTGGGCTCTGCTTTCCCCCTCTTTTCTCTGCATTCTTGTGCTTGTGTATTTATTTTTTCACTGAAGACACTTAAGAGCTGATCTCACTGGAGATAGTAATTTCAAAACCAAAACAAAGTGTTGCCTAGCACAAAGTGCCTGAGCTCAGTGGGAGGGTTAAAGGTTCCTCAGCTCTCTGTGCAGCCCTGCTATGATGTTTTAAATTCACCACGGTTGGAATGTGCACTCAGCAAATCCTTTTGCTAACCCCTAGGATGGCTGGAGACCCCTAGCACCTCCCTCATGAAGGCTGAACCTGCTTGCTTATGCCCTTCCTAGGCACGGGGCAAGGGCTGTTTTTGGCAGTCTGCAGAGTGGTGCTCATCTGGCAGTGGCCAGTGACCCGTTGTGTTCCCTGGATGGGTCAGGGCACTGATCTGTGTCGTGCCACCTTCTACCTTTGGCACCCCAGCCTCTGGTTAGCACTGCTCAGGCCAAAGAGCTGAGCTGTGGCATGGGCTGGGCCCAGCAGCTGTGTTACGGCACAGAGCAGGACAAGCTCCTGCTTCCCCTCCCTGGCACAGCTCTGTGCAAAGCTGCAGTTGCTGCAAGGATGGGGGATGAGGCAATCACCTTTAAATGCCCCACTGCCTCTTCTGGCTGGAGGCTCCATGGGTGACAGCATGAGCCATAAGCTCTGACTTGTTTGGCAGGGAGGGTTTAAAGCCTTGTAACACCTGTGCCCAGGAGTGTGCTTGGGCCTGAGTGACCATGGGCAGTACCATACGTGGGGCAGGGCAGGCATCTTGCATTGGCTTTTCTTGCTGCTGCCATGCAAGGGGATGACAGACACACAGGAGCTGTGTGGGTTTCTTGTAGGAAAGCTCTAGGGGTGGGCAGGAGGAATCAATCTAGAGCCTCCCCTCCACTGTGGAGGAGAGGTACAGCCTGACTTGGCCTCAATGGCTGGTGGCCATGGCAGGGATCAGGAATACCAGGCTGAAGCTTTTGACCTTTATTGCCCTGTGAGCCACATAGGAATGTCCCCATATGGCCCAGAGACACAGGACACGTCCTGCACATCAGGGAGCTCTAGGATTTTTCTTCAAGGGAGATGTAGTTACAGTCCCTTGGGGTCCTGCCAGATGGATTGTAGTTACAGTCCCTTGGGATCCTTCAGAAGGATGAAGAAGGCTCTTTTAGTTGCTGTGGGGTTTCCCAGATCCCTTCACTTTCCTTTTGAAGGAGGAATCCTTCTAGAAATGGCAGTGACAGAATAGTGAGGTATTCCTTGGGGCTTCCTTTTTTTTTTTTTCCTTTTGAATTTTGCATTCCACAGTGGATTATTTTCACTTTTTTTGGGTTGATCCCAGTGCCAGAGTGTGTTGCAGATATTTCACTGCAGAGCCAGACCGCCAGATCCTCCCAGCTTCCTCGTCCAAACCTTTGTGTTGTTTTTTTGTAAACACACAGACAGCTTGAGGTTTATTTCTGTAGGCTCTGTAAGTTGATCTTACTGTCACTGCTGGGGAACAGTATTGCAACATTCCTGCCTCTTCAGCTAAGGACATCGTTATGAGGCAGAGTGTATTTTTATCGGATGAACTCATCCAAGTTCATTCCTGACATGCGCTCTTTCTCCCCCATCATCCATGCAATTCCCCTCAAAATGCACTTGTGAAGCTCTTGTGCAGGATTAGCCAAGTGCTACTGCACTTCTGTTGCAGATGGTGACCTTAATGGCCAAGGACATAGGACAAGGCAACCCAGCCACATCTGGTTTTACGTCTTTGAAGTCTGTATATAAGAGGATGGCTCTTTGCAAAAGTGCTTTTCCCTCTCTGCTCCCTCTTTTCCCTGGATGTGGCACAGGTCTGTTCCTTGTCCAGCACTCGCTCCTGTTGAGGCAGTCGGCACAGGCAGCATCCTACACTCTCCAAGCCCACTCCCCCATAGCCCTACAGGAGCATTCCTGCAGGGATCTGGCACTGGGACTAGCTCACTGCTAAGGACTTGGGAGAAATCCCTGACCCTGCTGCTCCCACGTCCAGACTGTGTTTTTGGGAAGCTATGGCTGAAAGGACCAAGGGTGTTAGAGAAAGCGAATGTTCAAATAGAAGGCGTAAAGAGAAACTTCTGTCACAGCCTTTGTGAAGAAGACTCATCCCAGACAAGGAGCAGGTTGAGAGTTCCATAACAACTGTGTGTTCATCATGGAGAAATTGACTCTTTCACCATGAAGATACCAGAGCAAGGAAAGGAAGACAGGCAAGGGAATAGGTGAAAGAACCTTCCCTAGAAATGCCCCTGGGAGAGATAAGTCCACACTGTGGACCCATGGTGAGTGCCTGCATCTGCTTTCCATGGGCTGAGTGCTGTCTGTGGAGCATGACCAGACTGAAGAGCTGCAGCAACTGAGGAAACCATTACCAGCTTTCCCAGTGCCTATGCCCTGGTCCTCAGCTGTTGGCAGCAGATCAGAGCTAATTAAAACCTTTATGTGGAAACTTACTTTTCTTGCATGAGGAATTTATTCATAGGAGCCCAGCAGTCCTGTTTTTTCCCTTTCATAAAAATAGTGTATTTGCTCTGTTGGGGATAGGATATTTTGCTCCAGAAGGGCACATTTGTCTACATGTTCTTTCCCCAATTTGTTCAGCTAGTGCCCATGACTTCACTTATTTATTGTAAATAAACAGCTGATACCATTTCTTGCAAGCTCTCTTTCTGTGCTGCTCTTTGTTACTGCTCTGGCAACAAAACACTTAATTGCCCTTTGTCAGGCAGCAAATTTTTTGTACCCATCTGGATAGAACTGTTTTAGTGTGACATTGTTAATTAACCCTCTGTCTCCCAGTCACGTCCAAAGCGGAAATAGTGCCAACCCTGCTCTTAAGACCAAAAGATTAGCTCATTTGGGTTCAATAAAGCCTGTGGGATTCATGGTGGCTGTTTGGGGATTTTTCTGTGGAGATAGAAGGTGGAAAATATGTAAAATTCAAAGGACTGTGGAATACAGTTTTGGTAATTAAAGCCTCATTCTTGATTGAATTTACCCATGCTAACTATGCAAATAACTATGCTAATGGCCATTGGGGCCCGCCTGAATTTCAGCTGTTGAGATCCTGAGCATCTCTAGTACTATTAATGACTTTATTTAGGCTGCAGGAGCACACACAGAAGCCAATTTTTCATCTGGATCTAATAAGTCACGTTGTTTCTAGGTAGCTATGGCTGGATTTGTCTGGAATCCCTCTCAAACTGGGTGACTGTTGTGCTCATGTCAGTGGGAGCTTGAAGCAGACCTCACCTGCAGGGCAGTTGTGGCTGTCTCTGCTGGAGGAGTCTGTGCTTGGATTTGCAGGAGAGAGATGGTGGGGACTGGCAGGGGGATCAAGAGCAGCGCTGTTTTTGTCAAGCTGTACCTGTGTTGTGGGGTCCAGGGTGAGGCTGGTACAAACATTGCCCTGAGTCCAGAGCTGACACAGGCTGAGCTTGGTAGCTGTGTGTTTCCATCACTGCTGCTGCCTGCAGGCCGGGACCAGCCCAGCCCTGCTGTGTGTCCCTTTCACCTCTTGGAGTCTCCCAGTGGCCTGAGGGGACTTTTTTAACCTGCTGTGAGAGCCCTGGCATCATAAACCCCCATTTATCTGAAAAGGCTTCTCCTCTCTTGCAGGTTTTCCAGGTCAGATGAGCTGTCCCGGCACAGGCGCTCCCACTCGGGGGTGAAACCCTACCAGTGTCCAGTCTGTGAGAAGAAGTTTGCTCGAAGTGACCACTTGTCCAAACATGTCAAGGTGCACCGGTTCCCACGAAGCAACCGCTCCGTCCGCTCCATGAACTGATGGGTCCTGCTTTCCCCTTCCTGCCCAGCCATCCTACAACAGCCGATGACAGCACTTTGCTCACTATATTTCTAGTGATAATTTATTTGTCTCCACAGAACAGTGAATGCTGTTACTTAATACCACCATGTCTGAGTGCCCCACGTCCTTCAGAGGATTTGAGAATGAAGCTCTTTTTGGGTCAGGGGAGCGGGGTGCTTCTTCCTTCTTTTTTTTTTTTCTTTTGAGGATATTATTTTCCTTTCCTTCTATATGTTTCTCCTTTGCTGCTGCTTCTTTTGGAAATTACAGTGTTTTATTTTTAGCTATTTTTTGCTGCACAGGAAAATGTAAAAGTTGCTTGCTGCTAGTTAATTATAGCCCTGGCATTCCTGAGGGCTTTGCTCATGTACAGGCCACTCATTGTGAGTTTTTATTAAGCTGCTCTATTTGTCCAGTTTGGAAACAGCAAATTCCTTTTGAAATGAAAACAACTCTTTTGTTTTTGGGTCGCCTGAGCCAAGGATTTGTAGGGGCTGGCCATAGGAGGAAGAACAGTGGGAGTCGGGGATAGGGGCAGACAAGGCTTGGAGAGCACTGGAATGTGCCTCCATTCATCTCTGGATTTTCCTGGCTCACATTTACCTTTCCCTTGGCTAGGGCTATATATAAATATTTATGTATACATATACATACATACATACATACATACATACATACATACATACATACATACATACATATATATATATTTAAAGAAAGACATGTCCCAAGCAAACCCAGAAGCTCAGGCTGCATGGAACAACTTGGAGTGAAGCCTCTGGAACTGTGTGTGTTTCTGTCCTGTGCTGCCGAGGGGTGAAAGGATGCCCAGGTGCCAAAGGATGCTGCTTTCCTTTGAGGCTGGTTTGCAGCATCCACTGTCTATAGCAGAAGAGCTGTTGTCTGCCCACAAAACAGCACAAAGGTGTTTGTGAGAGCATCTGAGCTCTGTTCCTGTCTCTGCTCCTGCCCTCTTGTGTGATCTGGGGGGAGAAAGCAGAGCCCCAGCCCCAGCGTGCCTGGTGAGCACTGGGCATCCCCACATGCAGTGTGAGTCAAGGCCTGGCTGGCTGGAGCTGTCTGTGTTTGCTGGCAGGGTCTGTAGGATGTGCCTGTGCCCAGGGAGGGTGGGAGGAACTGTGAGCTGGTGGGACAGCGCTGTGAAACCCAGGTCTGGGGGTGATCCTCAGTGCTAATCCTCTCCCTCCCGACAGCCATGTCAGAGCTCCATGCAGCTGGGGTGGGAAAATGGGTGAGAACAGTAGCCAAAAGAAACAAATTTGTGTGGTAGCTGGCTAAGAAGGGAATTTAAGCAAATAATCAGATGGCAGCAGGCAAGTGATTTGATTTGTGTTTCTTCTTGTTTTGTTTTTCCTTTTGAACTCTGGCGATTGTAAGAAGCTTTAGAAGAAAATAGAATTCAGTAATTAGGAATGATTTTATAATGGATGTTGCATTTCCTTTCCATTCGCAGACAGCCTCTGTTTGTCTTTTCTGTTGGCAAAATGGGAAGTAGGAAAGTGTGATCCCAGAGCTAGGCAGAGCAGAAGCCCACGCTGTGTGAGAGCAGCAGGTCTGGCTAAAGTGAATGCATTCCTTTTGTCCTCTAGAAATTAATATAATTGAACTATCATCTATTGACTGGTTTATATCACATCCTATGAATGTATGTAAATAAAACTGTACATAGATGCATATCTATATAAAATATCTTTTAATAACGTATCAAATTTGTGTAAATTGGAAACAAAAATACCTATAAAGCCAGTGTACATAAGTTACAATTCTGTATATTTTCTTTTGTTCTTCATAAAAATATATTTACTTTGACAATAAAATGAAAATGGAAATTTTAAATCCCTCCTTGAAATTATTATTCTTTAATTTCCTTTATAGCCAGCTCTGTAATCAGGACAATAGCACTTGAAATTTTGATTCACTCAGATGTAACTTTTCAGGTGCTGAGTAACAGGGATATGATGGATCAGTTCTGAAGCTGAGTTTTTCTCATCTCAGGAAATTCTAGGGAGGCACAAGATGTCTCAGCTCTTTCTCTCCACTGGAGCCCTCATGCCTTGCTTGGCAGCCACGCTGGGACACAAACGTCTTTCATGGCTCCTGACTGCTGTGGAACAGGTCTACAGATGCAGGAAAACTGTGGTTAATAAAGCAAAGCAAGCAGGTTTTAAGGGAATTCCAGCTTTAGTGATTAGTGTGGAGGAGGAAAGGCTCCAAAGTCTGCTTCAGACTGGGACTGTGACTCGCTGTGTGACCCAGGACAGAGGACTCGATTGCCGTGTTCTGCAGTTCTCTTTCTTGTAAAATGGGGATAATAACGCATCACAGTGATACTGTGGGACTTAATTTGCGTTTGTGTGATCCGTGGGTGGAAGGAGCAAGCAATGAGACAAGTAGTCACAGGATTAGATGGTTAAAGAAAGGCCCAGCAGGACGGAGGTCTTGGTGCCAGGGCGCCTCAGTTGGCTCTTCTGTAAATCCCACGCCTGAAAGAGCGATGTGCAGGAGCTGTGGTAGGAAGCGTTGCCTCAGGCCTGTGGAGGAGACACCCTGTTCTGCAAAAGCCATTGCTTCCATTTGTAACAACAGGGGCATGAACACCCTGCTCCTGTGATCTGCAAGCTGGGACATCTTTTGCACTGTGCTTCTGCTTACTTTGGCCTCCACTGGAAGAAGAAACCAGCAACATTACTGGTGTTAAAGTCACTTCTGAGTCTCCATGGGAGCAATGGTGCAGTGGGTCCAGATCTTCTCCTGTCAAGAATCATTCTGAGACTAACAGGCACTGAGGGATTAAAGTCTCTCCCTGAAGAACTGCCACCAAAAAGCGCCAGCTGATGAGCCAGGGCTCTCAAGACCCCTGATTATTTTTTCCCAGAGAATCCCTTTGAGTGTGGCAAGAGGACCAAGGGATGAGGCAGACTTAAGTTCTGTGCAATCCAGGTTGTTGTTACCTCTTGAGGTGTAGCTTGAAGACCAGAGTGCTCAGGACAGCAGTTTTAAGCTTTAATTAGCAAGCCTGCACCAAGAGGATCTGCAATTCCCTTCTGTTCTCACCCTATCCACTTCATCCATTAAATCAGCTGCTTTATTTTAACCAGCATCTCAGTGTCTTCCCCATCCCACCTGGAGTTCTGATATCGCTGTAAAGTTGGGCAATTCACCCTGCAAGACCTTTGGGGAAGACCTTTGCTATTTTTCTGCAACAGGTAATACTTAAAGCTGAAGTGGAGTAATGCAAAATGCCTACTGTTGGAGCACAGCACTGTTCCAGCAGGAATTTAAGATTTAAGTTTTGTTTTAGCCTGTAATATTTTCCATGAAATGCACATTCTCTCTCTCTTTTCCTTTCTCTTTTGTCTGTTTTAAGTATGGATTTGAGTGTGAATTGTGTGGGTTTTTATAGTTAATACCTAAGGAAATGTAAGTTTATGTAAAAGTTGCAATATTTTGCTGAAAAGAGTAGGGCTATGTTTGCTGTGAAAGCAGAGTTAGTTCTGCATGAAGTGATTGACATTTTCAGAGTTTTGTCCCAAAAGGTAGAAATTTCCAAGAGATTTTGATGTTTGTTTTATGTGGAATTTCTGGCCTGGCTGGGCTTTGCTGATTCAGGAGAAATATGTGGCCTTTCCTTAAGCCTGACTTCATCCACCTGAAGATAAATATATATTTAAGTGTTTTGATGCTGCAACTAGATAAGTTGTCCCAACTTAAGCAACTATGCATGGCAAAGCACAGCATGGCATGGTTATATATATGCCTAAGCCTCACTGACTTCAAACCTCTGTAATTTGGTTTCTGAGGTGTGAATGGATGTGTGTGCAGTGGCACAGCCTTCACAAAATGATCGTGATCTGGTTCCTAATGCTTGCCAGAATGTTTTGTGTTTTTAAAAGGATTATAGTCCCTTTGTCAGAACTGGTGGTGAAGGAGTGGTGTTAGGAGAGGTAAAGGAGCTGTCAGCTGGGGAAGTTGTACTCAGGGTAAGGAGGAGAAAAAGGACCTGACTGTAAGGTGACCTGACTTCCGTGACCTGTGATTAAACACAGTGCAGTGGAGTGATGTGTCTGAGACCACAGAACAACACAGAGGAGAAATGGGAGCGGAACCAAGATGTCCTAAATCTCCTTTGGCCCCGACAGTGGCCCAGACCACACACCAGTAACACACAGCAGGTTACAGGAGGCAAAGAGTAATAGGACACGTAAGACATCAGATAAGCAAAGAAAGATAAAGACAGGACACAGGTAAAGTCAGGTTGCACTGATAATGCATGCTTTTGGAAAGGATTCTGGGGGAGAGGAATGACATCTTGCTTCCTGGTGTGCCACATGTGGGAGTCACCAAGGTAAAGCTGCCTAGGAAGAGCTCTGCCCCCCTGACCTGTGTTATGTGGGGACTTTTTACCCTGGTGGTTTTGAGGAGAGCTGCGCCCCGGTGGAAATCAAACCAGCCCGTTGAGCAGGGTGTTGTGATGGAAGGTGGCTGCTCTGGCTCCCTGGGGGAGTGCTTGGGTTTAGATCCTGTGATATTTGCAACAGTCTTCTGCTTCCCGCCCTCCCTGGGGTTGTTTTCACTGAAGTCCTTGTGCCAGGAGCCTTCTCCTTGTCTAAATGGCCACTATACATTTAATCCAAACAACCAGGTGACTCCAGCACAAAGCCAGTGGCATTAATCCAGTGTTAATGATTACCCTGGGCCCCTTGGGTTATGTAAGCCTGGATGTGCTGTACTCAGCTCTCGGCTCAGACCTGCCCTCCCTGTCTGGGAGAAATACCAAGGACCTGCCAACACACATAGAAAGCTCTTTGGAGCCAGCTAGGATTTTCCTTTTGACAGCACCTATGAAACCCGTTATTCACTCAGTTCAGTGATTGCCATGCCATGCTTGCTTGTTATTCAGAGACGTTGCTCTTAAAGAATGAGTTGTGCTAAGCTCCCACTGGCTTCAGCACAAGCCAAAGACAGTGACTGCCATGGCTTATCCAGGGTAAAAATTTCTCAACTAAGGCAGGAACTGCAAATCCCAACAGGTCCTCGGCTTCTCTTGTTCATCCCTTCTGGGACATTTGTGCTTTTGTGGCTTTTAATCTCTTTTTCCATGGGTCTTAGTTTTGTTCTTGCCTATTTTTTGGGGTGTGTGGGAGTGGGCAGGGTGGGAGGTGTTTGCAGGTGTGTGATGTGAGAAAAATAGGTATTGAAGAATATTCAGAGGGTTGAGACATAATGCCTCTTCTGGTTAATTTATCTGGATCATGAGGTTTGCAGCTCCTCAGTGCTCAGTGTTTCACAGGTCTAAGCTTTCATCTACTCTGCCAGATCAGTGTAGGTCTTCCTCCAGCTGGAGCTGGAGCACATCCTTCATCTCTTGCCATGTTCTTGACTTTGCTCTACTGTTCTGATAGTTTTGTGGTTAGGTTGACTGAAAGCACATGTAAGTACTTGATCTCCTAAAGAGATAAGGCTGGAGGAACCTCTTAGCTCTTGGAGAAGTCTATTGCAGACAGCTTTCATCAGCTCTCCCACCCTGCCTGTGGAGTGTGTGTGCCTTGGCCAGCATCTCACTGAGCCCCAGACTGCTGTTCAAACCATCCTGAAGACTGGAGCAACATCTGACAAGAGCTTGGCCATCACAA